TCTGCTGAACACAATAATATAATTCCTCACCTATGGAAATAATAGCATTATATATATACGAGGGCGGTCCGATAAATACTTAGCCTCACCGCTCGATGGCGCCACTATCGCAAGAGAAATTTACTATCGTGTAGTACATTCTCGTAGACGGCTACTGTCGAAATTTCAACCGAATCGGACTCGTAGTTTTGTTTTGACCGCGTGTGGAAGCGGGCGTGTCCGCGGATTTTAGAAAAATGGAAAAAGAGGGGGGAAAATATCGGTCGGTGATTCGATTCTTGTTTTTGGAAGGGAAATCGCGCAGCGAAATCAAAGAGCGCTTGGATGCTGTGTACGGTGACTCTTCTCCTTCGATGGCGACCGTCAAAAATTGGTTTAACGAGTTTCAACGTGGTCGCACGTCGGTTTTTGATGAGCCACGCCCAGGTGCCCCGAAAACGGCTACCACGGAGGATAACATGACAAAAATCCACGATCTCGTATTGGCAGACCGCCGATTGAAGGTGCGCGAGATAGCTGAGACAGTAGGCATCTCAAAAGACCGCGTGGGTCATATCCTGCATGAAATTTTGGGCATGAGAAAGCTGTCGGCGCGATGGGTGCCGCGTTTGCTCACTCCGGACAACAAGCGCAACCGTGAGACCACTTCAGAGCAGTGTTTGACGCTGTTTAAGCGCAATCCGAAGGAGTTTCTGCGTCGTTTCGTGACCGTCGACGAAACATGGATCCATTGGTACACACCAGAGACCAAGGAACAGTCGAAACAGTGGACTTCACCCGGCGAACGTGCTCCGAAGAAGGCGAAGACTGTCCTATCGGCCGGAAAGGTGATGGCCACCGTTTTCTGGGATTCACAAGGTGTGATCTACATCGACTACTTGGAGAAGGGCAAAACGGTCACAGGGCTGTACTATGCCGAATTATTGGGCCGATTCGACGCCGAATTGCAGAAAAAACGGCCCCATTTGGCGAAGAAAAAAGTGCTCTTCCACCATGACAACGCACCGGCTCACACCTCCGCCCTCGCCACGGTCAAATTGGGCTACGAACTGCTGCTCCATCCACCGTATTCTCCAGATTTGGCCCCGTGCGACTTCTTTTTGTTTCCAAACTTGAAAAAGTCACTCGCTGGGCAGAAATTTGAGTCGAATGAGGAGGTCATCGCCGCCACGGAGGCCTACTTTGCAGACCTCGAGAAAACATATTTTTCAGACGGGTTAAAGAAGTTGGAGCATCGCTGGGTCAAGTGTATCGAGCTAAAAGGAGACTATGTTGAGAAATAAATCGCCACTTTTCCAAAATTTTCGTTTTTCTTTTGTAGGCTAAGTACTTATCGGACCACCCTCGTATATATTCCTTCAACGTCAATGACAAATTTATTAACATTAAAGAAATTATGGTTTATAACTTTTTTAACTTACACTCAAATTAAAAAATATTTTACACTTAAAATATTATTAGACAATTAATACTCTCCTTTAATATACTGTTTTACAAATTTTATGAAGCCTTTTGCCACTTTTCTTCACAATCACTATTTGTTTTCTTCATTTCTTCAATTATAACTCAAAGTCTCCAAGACATTTGTGTCTACGCCACAATCACTACTTATTTGACACTCGTATATGCCATCCTTTTGCTCTCGTAATAAGTGACAGCGCTGACGTATGAAGCAGTGGTTGCCTTTCTCCTCAAGTTGGAGCGCGTTCCGAAGTCAACAAAAAATCGGTGCACATACCTTTTAGTTCACGAGTGTACATGTATTGCGCGAAGCAGATGCGCAAAATACGGACGCGATTCTAACCTTTCGAAGTGACACACGTATATGTAATCGCCGTTGCAATAAGACATGCTCAAATGTGATACACGTTTTTAATATCAGTTGTAATTAAGAAAAAAATAAGTATCGCGAAAAATAATATTGATAAAATTACCGTAAGTAATAAAATATTCGTGTGTGTGCCTGATCATGAAAAAAATATATATGGTATATCAAATTATAAAATTTTATTATTAAATTTTTATATAAATTGTAAATAAATACTCACAGAGGACTCACAGAAAAACATGCCGAAACGGTAGCGCGCCAATAGAAGTATATAAAACTGTTTACTGCGCATCCCTTAGTCCGTATTCTGCGCAAGTCGTACATACTTTTTGGCAACAGTTAAGGCCCAGTTCCACAACTTGCTTTAAACTCCGCTTTCTGTAATCGCAAAAAATTAGATTTTCTGCAATTCTCCGGAAATGATTATTGGATTGAAAAATAAAAAAATACCTGTTCAATATTTTTAAAAATATTTTTAAAAAACATAATAACAGTTATTCCCCCCATCCCCTCGGGGTAAGGTGAGTGGTAACGTTCAAATCTCAAATGAGAACCCACATTTTTCATTGCAGAATAGATTTTACGTGAAGTTTTTATGGAAACAATTTTTTTCATTCGTGATAGATAGCGTTGAATAGATAGCGTGATAGATAGCTTTAAACTCAGTTTAAAGCAAGTTGTGGAACTGGGCCTAAAGGGATGCAGTTAGCAGTCTAGTGTATTATATAGAAGTCTGTGGTCCAGACTCTTATTAGAGGATCTCTATGGTGCCCATAGCATAGTATACAGGGTGTCCCATTTAACCTGACAAATCGTAATATCTGGAAAACTACATGTCGGATCAAAAAAAGTGGGTAATAAAATTTGTTCGTCTCGAAGGGGGACATCCAATGATATCAAACTCGACCTCCCACCCCACTCCTAGGGGGTGGGGGTGGGGGACAACTTTGAAATCTTAAATGGGAACCCCCATTTTTTATTGCAGATTCGGATTCTACGCCACAAAATACGTAAGTTTCGTCTGGAACTTTTTTTTTATTCGTGATAGATGGCGCTGTAATCGCAAAAAATTAGATTTTCTGCAATTCTCCAGAAATGATCATTGGATTGAAAAATAAAAAAAATACCTGTTCAATATTTTTAAAAATATTTTTAAGAAACATAATAACAGTTATTTCCCCCCTCGGGGATGACGTAGTAGCTTCCTGTTCCTTTCGAAGTGCTTGCTTTAGGTGAGTCCCCTCGCCTCTCACCATTGGGGTGATTTTGCATAATTAATTTGTTAGTGGCATCTCTCCATCGTCAGCGCCCATAGAACTTAAGAGACGATCATTATTAGACATTTACCTTTCTAATCAGGAGAGGTGCTTAATCGTCGTTGTTCCTGGGTAACGCTAAAAGTAGTTTCTCGGAAAAATTCAACGCTATCTATCACGAATGAAAAAAATTGTTTCCATAAAAACTTCACGTAAAATCTATTCTGCAATGAAAAATGTGGGTTCTCATTTGAGATTTGAACGTTACCACCCACCTTACCCCGAGGGGATGGGGGGAATAACTGTTATTATGTTTTTTAAAAATATTTTTAAAAATATTGAACAGGTATTTTTTTATTTTTCAATCCAATAATCATTTCCGGAGAATTGCAGAAAATCTAATTTTTTGCGATTACAGCGCCATTTATCACGAATCAAAAAAAGTTTCGGACGAAACTTACGTATTTTGTAGCATAGAATCCGAATCTGCAATAAAAAATGGGGATTCCCATTTAAGATTTCAAAGTTGCCCCCCACCCCCACCCCCCGGGAGTGGGGTGGGAGGTCGAATTTGATATAATTGGATGTCCTCCTTCGAGGCGAACAAATTTCATAACCCACTTTTTTTGATCCGATATGGTTTTCCAGATATTACGATTTATCAGGTTAAATGGGACACCCTGTATATAGTAGCAACTCTCTGTCGACACCTTTGATATTAGCGTCTCTAAAAATGAATTACACATGCGTAACCTTATTACCTAACCAATAGCAAGCAGGATCTACTTGAGTCTACAAACGCTTTGAACGCTAAAAGGAAGGCTATTATACGGTGTTCAAAACATTTACAACATTTAATAAATCGTACTCTGTATGATTTAATAAAAATTGAAATAAATATATATATATAAAGAGGAAAAGGGAGAAAGAGAGAGCAGAAACTGAAATTAACAATTGTGACAGGAAGATGGTCTGCACTTTTTAACTGCATTGCTGAACTAAGTATAATAAGTTAGAGTAAGACATATAGTATATTTTTTCTGCGAGAAAGTGAGATAGAGAAAAATATCTGTAACGCTATTGGTTAGGTAATATGGCTGCGCATGTGCATTTTTGGAGACGCGAAGTTTAGAGTGTCGTTACTGTGTATACTGTGTCCATAGTCTCTCTCACCACACAACGGTTTCAACCTGATGGGCCAGAGCACAGACTTCTGCATAACGCATAAGAAAATCAACCAATCAAAGTTCTTTATTTCTGTTCTGAGGAAGGAAATGAAGAAAACTAATTGGCTTATTCTCTTATGCGTTATGTATTATGTGTTATGCAAAAGCCTGTGCTCTTGCCCATAGACATAGGAATATAGAGACAAAGCATAAGCCCGTAAGATAGGCGAGGGGAGTTGTGCTGAAATGCGGGGGAGCGACTGTACCTAAGTTTCATTGGCTACAATGAGTGCGCATATTCAGAGCGTGTGATGTAACGACTTGGCTGTCATTGATAAATAGTAAATGTAACAAAATGATAAGAACTATTTACACTAACAGTATTTTGCAGAGGTTATGCATGTATCTTTTTTTTCATAATTTCACTCACGCACAACTTCATATACATCTATGAATGTATCAAATACTTACATATGGCACAACCACCAATTAAATTTAGGCACAGTTTACCTCGTCGCAGCGCCCCGCAATGGTTATCCCTACGCAACTCTATAGCTTTGTCCGTTTTGTCTCTTGGGGGCTGCTCGGAGTCGCTCCAAGCAAACCTAGTGAACTTGATGATGTTCTTTTAGCCGGAAATTATATCGGGGCAATTAGGGTGAAAACTTGGTTCTGTTCTATTTCCCTATGTGAAAGCGGTTTAGAGCTATTCTGCTCCACTCGGAGTTTCCCTACAATGCTTCCTCACGAAACGATGGGTTTTGTCTAAAGAGCCTGAAATCAAAGAGCCGCAAACTGCCTCCACGTTTTTGATTGGCTGTACTATATGACGTCAGAATACGTCATGTTTGCGAGGAAAAATCGTACAGTTCGCTAGCTGTCTGCTAGATAAGAAGGTTGCGAGGTTATTTTACATTAAATCTTTTGAAACATGTTTCTAATGTAAATACATTGTCTAAAAAACTTGCTGGAATTTGAACATAACCTTTTACAAACTTGTTTTATTGTATTTCCTTAAAGAGATTTGATGGCTATTTACTGTCGCATGAAACATTTATAAGAATAATTTCAAATTATGTAATTACTTTATTATTTTTGCAGTATTTGTAGTTATGTTGCGGTGTTTAAATATTGATTTGCATCATGGTACGAGTATGTAGTGCAAATAATTGTTCAAATAAGTATAGTACTGGGATAAAGTTCAGGAGGTGCCCTTGTATTCCTCATCTGCGGCAACAATGGTTAGAAAAATTAAACAGAAGTACTATGGGAAATGAATTTTATCTTTCTGAGGTATGAATGCAATTATAAAATTATAAAATAGTTGTTTCCTTTAGAAAATATATATGTTTAGATGTTATGTCATAAGATTTTGTTTTATGGTTCTTATCTTATATTGTAGGAACATTTCAGCAGAGAAGATTTACAAACAAATACTCGAAGCCTTATTCCTATAATTTTTTGCAACTGCTCAAATACTTGTAGGTCACAATCTTGCAACAGCTTGTCACAATCTTGCAACAGCTATTCTGAAGAGATTCATTCAAATGCGACTAAAAATTTTCACTGGTCATGAAGAACGAAAAGAATCCGGTTCAGAATTTGGTAGTTTCAGCATGGGCTCGCGTTTGTTAGGCAAAAGCATGAAGTAAAACTTTATTATTAGTCAGCAGAGACTTCCAACGATATTGAGTAAAGTAATTCTGTTTTTATTTTTAGTATGTTAGTCTAATTGTTGTCACAAGAAATTTCTATTGAATGCAATAACCCAGATAGAACACAGTGTTAGCAAAATATTTTAGAGATATAGATGTGAAATATTATATAAATATTGTAATGTCCGAGATTCTCAGATATGAAAAAGATTATAATAAATATCTAAAAATATTTAAGAAAACCATTTTTCATTAATATTTTTATGAAACAACTTATGACTTATAAATCGATTTATGAAACATATTTTGCAGACATATTTTTACATATTTATTATAATTGTTTTCATAGCAAAGAATGTTGAACATTACAATAACTATAAAATATTTGATCTATATTTCTAAAATATTTTGTAAATATTATGTGCTGTCTGGGAACCTACATTTTAGTAACAGCAATAATAATATAATGTAATTATTAAAAGATAATTATGTTCAATACAATTATTATAATATATAATATAATTGTTATAATATATAATTATTATAACTGTTTTCAATAAAACTTATGTTCGTTCTCAAACGATTATGTAAATTTATTTCAATTTTATTTGAATAATCACACTAATACATTTACGAGATTCAGATATTAGTTTCGAACTTCGCGCGAAGGGACGCCATGTTTGCGAGGAAAAAGATTCCCCTGCCTAGCAGACAGTTTGCGGCTCTTTGATTTCAGGCTCTTTAGTTTTGTCGGTTCCATTCCAGAACCCGCGTGTTTTAAAAGGACTTTGTTTTAATCGAGCTTTGTGTTGACCTACAATTACACCTATCGCAGCAATCTTTCTGCTTAGACCTAAAAACGAAAATGCAAGGAAGTGAAAAAATAAGTGGACATGACCTCGGGGAAGAGGCCGACTTAAACGACGTAAGTGATTTCTTATGTATTATTTTGTATTGTTAACCTAACTTTACATAACCTAAAATATGATATTAAACTAGAATAAATATTTGTTTTCTTTTTAATCTTGTAAAATGTGTACAATAATCTCTTTATATACATTTATATTTAAGCTTATATGTTATGAATATAATGAAAAAATAGAATTAGACAATATATAATCACAATTGCTTCGTAGACGCACAAAATGTATATCTTTCAGGATGATACATAATAAGACAGGTATGTTTATCAATTTTGTTGTATAATTTTTAACATGTCTACTTAAATTAATTAATACATATGTAAATTGGATTGTTTTTATTTTATCTCATATATAGTAATGCTCTGTGACCTCTGTGACAATAACTCCCCAGATTTCAGCTGAGAGTGATAATAGACACAACTATAACATTCCAACAGAGGATGAAGACCTAATAACGAATGTTGTTGATTTGTCTTCGAACTGTACTGTGGTACAGCAAAGCGATTAAATGTTTATTAAGTCTATCCAAAATATAAAAGATTGCTTGATAGGCGCAAAATTGTTTCCAAAAAAATTATGTACGCACGTATTCACAAAGAAATGTCTACATACGGATACATATTCACAAGCATACAAATTGAAAATAAAATTCGAGCATTGGAAAAGGCATATAAAAAAAGACTAATGAATAAAGGACCAAAGAAAAATGGAAGAGGACGAATGTACCTTGAATTTGAAGAGTATGTTCATATACATGTATATAAATATTATCGCAATCTACTTTTTATTAATTATATATGTAATATATATTATACAGGGTGTTCCGTAAGTCGAGGTCAATCGCTCGAGAGATGAATGAGAAACCACAAACAAGAAAGAAAGTTGATACAAACATAGATCCAAAAATGCGTTGTTTTCGAATTATCGCCATTTTTATGTTAAAATTTGAAATTGCTTTGCTTTCGAATTTTTTTAGTTTTGGAATTTCGATGGTTTTTATGAGTTTCAAAACACAACTAAAGTCAAATAAAAGTTGCGGGCTGCTTTAGCACTACACAGGATGCACCGCGTGGAGGTATAGCCCGCTTAGCATCCTTTGGCAGAGATCAGGACCCCACAGTTCGTCACTCCTGTGGTATTTAGTGACTCCAAACCCTCTCTGTCGTATGTATGTATGTGTGTGTGTGTGTGTGTGTGTGTGAGTGAACGTAAAAATTATATGAGGTGTTCGAAAACAAAGCTTGTACAATAACATTGTGGTATTTACCACAGGAGTGACGAATTGTGGGGCCCTGATCTCTGCCAAGGAATGCTAAGCGGGCTGTACTTCCACGCGGTGCATCCTTGATAGTGCTAAAGCAGCCCGCAGCTTTTATTTGACTTTAGTTGTGTTTTGAAACTCATAAAAACCATCGAAATTCTAAAACCAAAAAAATTCGAAAGCAAAGCAATTTCAAATTTTAACATAAAAATGGCGATAACTCGAAAACAACGCATTTTTGGACCTATGTTTATATCAACTTTCTTTCTTGTTTGTGGTTCCCCATTCATCTCTCGAGCGATTGACCTCGACTTACGGAACACCCTATATATTATAAATATGTATTGTGTATATATACAGGGTGTCCCATTTTAAGTGTCCATCTCAAATATCTCTCCTATTTTTGATTTTAGAGAAAAGTGGACACGTTTTATATGGTTTCGAGGGGGCCATAATATGGTTTGACGTTGAATTTGACGTTGGAACGAGGGGGCCATTGATTGACGTTGAAGAGTCATTTGAAGGTCACGTGAAGGTTACCTCAATTTTTTTAGATGACATCCCCTATTTTTTATTACATATTCTTGTAGCTGACCTCGAGAGCTTCCCAAAACACTCTAATCAAATGTTTTTTGGTGAAGTACTTTTCGAGTTATAAAGCTCCAAATTTACAAAATTTTGATAAAAATACAAAATATTTCGTAAAACATTTACTTTCCGATAGTCTTATCTTACATGATTCAACCAGTCAAGGCAAGATCCGAACATGATCCAACCAGTCAAGGCAAGATCCGAGCATGATCCAACCAGTCAAGGCAAGATCCGAGCATGATCCAGCCAGTCAAGACAAGATCCTGTATTGCCTGATAATCAATGAACTGTAACAATTGTGAAAGTGTAATTGTCAATTCTTTTAATGAAACCAATATCAAGAGGCTTGTTTTAAATTTCTTACTTGGGCAACTGTTAGTATTTTGGCGAAGTCTCAGACAGACGCATATTATTATCCATTGAATTTTTTTTTATTAGACAGGAATTTTTGGTTTTTTGGCGCTTTTTTCTTTATAATTATGGCTGCTTATCCACCAAATGAAATTGTGGACATGATTCGCATTTTGGGTGAGGCCAGGAATAATTACTCGGCAGCAGAAAGGCTTTATGCTGAAAGATTTTCAGACAGACGCCATCCTGATAAGAAAGTAATAAAAAAGACTCTGCGACAGAGCTGAACAGGGTATTCTTAGAAGAAACCGGCGAAAATCGGGCCCTGATGAAGTCACATCATTGACTGTTATAGGTGCCGTTGCTTTGAATCCTTAAATCTCTACGAGACAAATTGAGAGGCAATACGGTATATCTAAATCAACAGCCAATCGTGTGCTCAAGCTCAACAAGTTTCACCCATATCACATTCATCTAACTCAGCAATTGGAAGAGAGGGACTACCAACGCCGTATATGTTTTTGTAACTGGGCTCGAGATCAAATCCAACAAAATCCCCGGTTCATTGCTGATACGCTTTTTTCTGATGAAGCCACGTTTTATAATAGAGGAGGCGTTAATAGATATAACTGCCATTATTATTCAGATGCTAATCCACATTGGCAGAGAAGCCAAGAGTTCCAACGGCAGTGGTCCATTAACGTTTGAGCAGGCATCCTGGGAGATGTTATTGTTGGTCCATATTTTTTTGAAGAAAATCTCAATGCGGCAAGCTATCTATCTTTTCTTCAAGATGACCTGCCCAACCTCTTGAGACATGTCGACAATGATTTACTCAGACGAATGTGGTTCCAACAAGATGGAGTACCGGCTCATAGATCTCGAGCTGTTACACAATATTTAAACAATAGATTCCCGAATAGGTGGATTGGTATGGGCAGCCGAGTTCAAGAATGGCCCCCAAGATAACCCGACTTGACACCCCTAGATTTTTATTTCTGCAGCTACATTAGAGATAGTTTATTCGCAAAAGCCTACAACCGTTGAAAATATGAGAAACCGGATCAGACAGGCTTGCAGAAATATTAATGTAGGTGTTCTTGAAAAAGTTAGGGACGACTTTCACTATAGACTAGAGCTATGAATACAAGTAAATGGCCAGGTTTTTGAACACTTTAAGTAATTGTACACAAAAGAAAATCTTGCCTTGACTGGCTGGATCATGCTCGGATCTTGCCTTGACTGGCTAGATCATGCTCGGATCTTGCCTTGACTGGCTGGATCATGCTCGGATCTTGCCTTGACTGATTGGATCATGCTCGGATCTTGCCTTAACTGGTTGGATCATGTAAGATAAGACTATCGGAAAGTGAATGTTTTACGAAATATTTTGTATTTTTATCAAAATTTTGTAAATTTGGAGCTTTATAACTCGATAAGTACTTCGCCAAAAAACATTTGATTATAGTGCTTTGGGAAGCTCTCGAGGTCAGCTACAAGAATATATAATAAAAAATAGGGAGTGCCATCTAAAAAAATTGAGGTAACCTTCACGTGACCTTCAAATGACTCTTCAAGGTCAAATAAATGATACTATCTTATGGCCCCCTCGAAACCATACATAACGTGTCTGAACCATTTTTCTCTAAAATAAAAAATAAGAGATATTTGGGGTGGACACTTAAAATGGGACACCCTGTATATGTGTATATATATACAGGATGTTCCAGAATATTAGGGATAATTTTCTTGTGCAGGTAAAGTGGACTAAACTCAGTAGAAAAGTCTTCTATAATTTTGCAATTCTCGCAACAATTACTGAAAAATTAATTTTAAAAAATCGACCAATTCGCGTAAGTATTAACATACCCACATAGCACCGCAATATTGCAGGAATATTACAGAAATGTTGCAGGAATATTACTAAAATATTGCATAAATATGACAACAATATTGCAGAAATATTTAATGTCCTAGACATAAGTCTCGCAGAAATATTGCGGGAATATTGTTATGATGTTGTAGGAATATTGTCACAATATCACAGGACTATTGCCACAATGTTGTTGAAATATCGCCACAATCTTGCAGGAATACCTATGAAATATAGTCACAATTCTGCAGAAAAATTGCAAAATATTGCCGAAATATTACTGCAATCGTGCAGGAATGTTGCTACAATATTTCTTAAATGTTGCTACAATATTGCAGGAATATTACTGAAATATTGCATAAATATCACAGCAATATTGCAAAAATACTTAATGTCCTAGGCATAAATCTCGCAAAAATATCTCAATGGCAGTAAGCAGTAAGAAGTAAGCGTAAGCGGTAAGAAATAAACCAATCACAGTCGATTATGACAAAAATAATCAACTGTGGTTAGTCCATTTCTTACTGTTCACGCTTTCTTTTTATTGCTTATGGCCATTGTAGACCACGCTTTAGAAACACTGCGTTAAATAAAAAAATGTTTCAGACAAAAGTTGTTTGACTTGAAGGGGGACATAAGACAGCGATAGCATTTTGTTAATAGATGGTGCCACTTTCAAGATATTCACTGACCATCAATTTTTATAAATGAAAATCCCAACTTTTTATTATATCTTCTTTTTCTACCAATTAATTTGAACAACTTTTGTCTGAAATATTTTTTATTTGCTTAATATTTTTTGAGATATTTAAGGAAAACTTGGTAACTTTTCCAACATTTATCTTACGATATCTCGCTAACTATTCGTCGACAAAAAAAATAGTATTAGACTTTTTTACTTTATTTAATATCAAGAATATATTAATAGTGCCCTAACTTTTGTTAATTTAATAACTTTGAAATTTCCAAAGGTCGATAAGTTAACAAAAGTTAGGGCACTATTATAATAATATATTCTTGATAGTAAGTAAAGTAAAAAAGTCTAATACTATTTTTTCTTTCGACGAATAGTTAGCGAGATATCGTAAGTTAAATGTTGAAAAGTTTTCCTTAAATATCTCAAAAAATATTAACCAAATAAAAAAATGTTTCAGACAAAAATTGTTCAAATTAATTGATAGAAAAAGAAAATATAATAAAAAATTCGGATTTCCATTTATGAAAATTGATTGTCAGTGAATATCTCAAAAGTGGCGCCATTTATAAACAAAATGCTATCGCTTTCTTGTCCTCCCTCAAGCCAAACAACTTTTGTCTCGAACATTTTTTTATTTAACGCAGTATTTCTGAGATATTTGTGATGTGACATTAAAATCCTGTATATAAATTGTTTCACACTGCAGTATTACGGCGATAATCAGAAATATTACGTGGCGGTCTGTCATGCTGGAATATAGCGGCAATATTCCTGTGATATTGCAATGAGATTTATTATCGCGCAATAATGTTGTAATATTGCCACTATGTTGCCATACGATAGTCACATTGTAACATTGCAGTAATATTCCAGTGATATTGTAATATTGTCCAGTGATATTGTCTGATATATCGCTCATCTGTTAAGTCAAAATGCAAATATTTTCGGTAATCATAGCTTCAGAATCATAAATTTTATAAGAATTGTAAGATGCTATAAACCATAATTGCTAAAAAGTTTTTATTAAAATCAGTATCTTATCATTACCATTTTTATAATAAAAATACAGATGTAATATTAACATATATATATATAAGATAATTTTCAATAATAGGAATACAAATATAATGATAGCATAAAGAATAATGTTTATAGAAGTTCTCAATAAGAACTTTTCGCAAATCGAAAAAATTTTATGTCTTATTCAGTAAAGGAATCTGAAACGGAGTACAGCAACAGTCAATAGCGTAACTATAAACTTTGAGCTAACAGATATTAAAGAAATCGCTAATAATTCTTTTCGGGAATAATTTTTTTAAGAGTTTTCGGGTAAGCTTTTTACGATTTGACCATTTAGATCTAAACAAAACGGTGTATTTTCTTCAGTCTGTCTTTTATGAAAATCATTGATTTCTTAAAAAAAATTGTTATTTTATACCGGAAACTATAAAAATCGCGTTATTAACATTTGTAACTTAAAAATATGTGGGTAGTTTTTTTTCTAAATTTTTTTTCAATATGGCGGACTCAACATTGCAGCCGAAATCACGAATTTCATCTTATATCGATTTTTCTAACGTTTTTCACTTTATAATGCTGATTTATTCAATCTGTCTGATATATCACTCCGTAACATTGTTATAATATTCCCGCGATATTGTAGATTGATATATCACATTGAAGTACTGCGATATTCAGAAATATTACGTAGTGGTCTATCATGCTGGAATATAGCGGCAATATTCCTATGATATTGCAATGAGATTTATCATCGCGCAATATTGTTGTAATATTGTCACTATGTTGCCATACGATAGTCACATTGTAACATTGCAGTAATATTCCAGTGATATTGTAATCTGATATATCACTCCGCAACATTGTTATAATATTCATGCGATATTGCAGATTGATATATCATATTGAAGTATTACTGCGATATTCAGAAATATTACGTAGCGGTCTATCATGCTGAAATATAGTGGCAATATTCCTGTGATATTGCTATGAGATTTATCATCTCGCAATATGCCAGATAGCCAAACCTGCGCGAGCAGATTTCGAACAAAGCCTGCTATCATAGGTTGATGGCAAATAGGCAACAAATTTAACGCAGAATCTGTTATATCAAATTATGCTGCCAATCTGCGGTCAAATATGCGCCAGATCCTGCTGTCGGATATTTGACGGCAGATTTGTACCAAAAACCGCGCAAGACTTGCAGTAATTTGATGGCAGATTGGCGGCAGAAACCGAGCCAACTCTATGCGCAAACTCTACGCGTAGTTTAGCAGCAGGACCTGTGCTGCGATTCTGTAACTCGTTATTGGAGTTAACGACACTTTCGTTATCGTTGCGCAACTTTTGTATACCGTAGAAAAGCTGCGCAACAATAACGAAACTGTCGTTAACTCCAATAACGAGTTACAGAATCGCAGCACTGCGCGGTTTCTGCTCACAATCTGCTCGCACGGCCTGTCGTACAGGTCCTGTCGACAAAACACGAGCCTAATGAGGACACAGATGGTTATAGTTTTGATGTGGAGATCTGATCGAAATTGGCGTCAATCTGCGCACATTCTGCTAGCATTTTGCTTACTGGGATTGTTATAATATTGTCACTATGTTGCTATACGATAGTCACATTGTAACATTGCAGTAATATTCTAGTGATATTGTAATCTGATATATCACTCTGTAATATTGTGATAATATTGCTGGAATATTATATAATAATCTTGTGATTTTGTAATATTGCTACGATATTATAATATTGCTTCAATATTGCTGCAATATTGCAGTGCTGTGTGGGTACAGCTAGAAAAGATCCACTATGACGTTAGGATACTAATGTCCAGCCTTATACACCGCTCGTACATAGCTATTTTTTTGTTTTTTAAAGCTATTCCTAATATGTCGTTGTATGTCTAGCGATCGCATAACAATGGGCTGTCTTTTCTTACTACGCGCTAATTCTCGCGCAAATTGGTCGATCTTTTTAATTAATTTCTCAATTATTGAAAAAATTGCAAAATGGTAGAGGACTTTTCTTCTCAAGTTTAGTCCGCTTTACCTGCACACGAAAATTATTCCCATTATTCTGAGATATCCTGAATATAATATTAGATATTATTTCTAATAATTATTTTACAGCGAATTGCATGATATTTTTGGAAAAGTTCATTCCATAATTCCTCCGGTACTCTGGGAACGAATTGTCTCGTTATAAACAATAGTACTGCAATTACATCAAATTCAGAAACGACAGATCCATTGTCAACAGATCAAGAAACATCTTTGAAAAACATCAATAAAGTTGCACCAACTGAAGATGCTCCACTACTTCAGCTACAAGATACCTGTGCAATAGATAATATTGGCGAAGAAGGATGTCAAGAGATGATCAACAAAGAAAGTATGTAAGTATGCGATCATTAAATATAAAATATAAATACTTTATTATTAGTAAAATAACCTATTAAGTAAACTGATTTAATACCATATTTCCCCAGTGAGAAATGACTCGTTGATCGACGTCGAAATCATCAAATCGATGTCGATTCGACATCGTTTCGACGTCGATTGACGAATCATTTCTCGCAGGGTCAGATTTCGTGAAAATGATAAACAGGAGACACCGATCAAAATGAAAAACAAAAAATACCAAGAAGGGAATCTGCTAAAAATATCCGAAAAACAAGAAAAAGAGAAAGCTGCTCGACAGTATGAGTATTTGAAACTCAAACTGAACTGAATCGAACTGAAACTGAAAGCCAAAAAATATAAAGCCAAATACAATATCGACATCAACAATGATGATGATGACATTGATGAGACATAATAGTTTGAAAATATTTTATGAAGTTCTTACATTTTGTTTCGCTTTTATTAGCATAGTTTCTTTTTATTGATAGTATATTTTTTTGTTTTAAGATTGTCAAAGGCAAAATGCGCAATTATGAAATTTATAATTTAATTATTTATAATTTTGTCTCAATCTTGTTCCTAGTTGAAAAGAACTACGCCGAGTTGTTTCCATTATCAGATTTTTTATTTCTATATAATAAAAAATATAATGCAGTACATAGTACAATACTGTGAGAAAAAGACTGTAATAAAAAGTGTGCAATAAAAGACGTGTGCAATAAAATTAATACATATTATTTATTCGTAAAAGTTAATATTTCCATAAATTATCACGCAATTCATTCCTTGATACCAATCTAGGTAAATCATTATTATTCTGGTAATCTTCTTTGTTTGCATTCATTTCAATATTACTGAGAGTCCCATCAGCAGGCAGTAGATCGAATCAAGGTCATCTGTACTACATATGTTGTGCAATACAAAACATGTATATATAACTTTTATCCTCCTTCCGAACTTTTTTAATTTAATGTGATAGAGGAACCGAAATCTTTATTATAAATTTATATATCATGAAATTAGATTTACATAATTATACATTTGGGAAGTGTACAGTAGACCAAATTAATGAGTTACAAATTTTTCGATTTTTTTATCTGTGGTCAAAATTTTTTGCATGCTGCAGCATAGAAAATTTCTTGGCTCTTAAGTAAAAAGTTGGAATGCATTAAATTGATCTTCTGTACAGTCATATATTCATTATTTTATGTAAGCATAATATTTGTTACCGTTGCTTCAAAATGCCGATAGTATGTTCAACTCGCACACGACATGACGATAATTTGACATTATACAAAGTTTCAGCAGCAGTCAAATGGCTATTGTCTTTGTAGGGAGTCATTAACGTTGGAAGACATGGTATGCGCTGTCTCCTAGAAGCCATCCATCTGTAACATTTTATCCATAAACGAATATTATAAAAATATTGAATACATTGAAATAATATTAAACATTTTTAAAATAAAATTATTTGAAGTTTTAGTTCATTCTGCCATGAAAAAATAATTTGATATTATGCAGTACTCACATAATTCTGGATTAAGTAATTTTTCAATCAGTGGCGAGTTTCTAAAAATTCTTGCATCGTGTACAGACCTGGGAACCTGATAAAAACATCTATAATTTTTCGTTCATGATTACAAACTATTTGCATTTGTATTGAGAAGAAATCTTTTCTATTGTAGTAACTTTCAGTACTTTCTTTTGGCCTATCTATGCGGATGTGAGTTCCATCAATGCACCCAATTACATTTGGAAAACCCATTATTTGTTGAAAATATGTTTTAGTTATTTCCCTTTCTTCTTCATTAAGCCAGCAAATATACTGTGGTGCAATATCGACCAAACAATCAGCCACTCTTGTAATGATTTCAAAGAGTGCACTTAATGACAGATCAAAGCGGTCCGCACAGTCTCTATACGATGACACTTCATGGCCAACCAACCACAAGAATATGTACATATGCTTCTCAGGAGATATAGCATCTAGGCCGAAAGCTAAGAAAAAGAAATTGTGTACAATTTATTATATAAATATAAATATGATTTTTCGAGTTACATGTACATTCTCACCTATTTATATCTTTTAGAAATAGAATGTATATTATTATATTGAAATTTATATTATCTTGTAAAAAAAATAATGAAATAAAAATATTGCACCAATTGGTAATACAAAAATATGTTGTATAAAACATAAAACGATGAAGCAAAAAAAAGTACTAAATATGTGAACAAAAATGACAATTATACTTATCATTGACAATAGACGTGTAATGAATGCACTGATTGCGAAAACCGTAAAATAAGTTGATTAATAACATTTCTTCTTAATCTAAAATGTTGTAAAAATTCTTTTTCGCTATATTCCGAAATAACTGCTTCATAATTTTTTATGCAATGACTATTTTTATTGCTTTCGTCTTCAGACGAATTAAAGAGCATTTCCCGGCCGATAGATATTTCTGAATCGGATGATGATGATGATGATGACGAAAAATTCATGATTAACCTATAAACAAAACATATTTCGATAAACAAAATAATCTGGAATCAAGAACACATTTAAAAATAATATGCACACACAGATTATATTCGACCAAATTAGGTTATAAAATGTGTTCTGTTTACAGCGCCTGAGTTCACTTCAAAGTCGTTCAGAGCACAAAAGTAATTCATTTCCTGTTCTACGATCCACTTCCGGAGTTCTTCTATCTTACCCTAAAGATACCAGGGGTGCGTTCCGTTTTACGCATATGAGCGCATTTTTTATAGTATACGTGACATAAACTATAGATAAATGCGCGCATATGCGTGAAACGGAACGCACTCCAGTGGTGCGATTCTGTAACTCGTTATTGGAGTTAACGACACTTTCGTTATCGTTGCGTAGCTTTTGTATACCGTAAAAAAGCTGCGCAATAATAACGAAACTGTCGTTAACTTCAATAACGAGTTACAGAATCGCACCACAGGTCTGCTTGGGACTATCCTGAAACAGACCCAGAACAGACTAAAGCCAGCGGCACACGATGCTTGTTTTCGTGCTGGATTGCTTGCTGGATGAAAATACTGCGTTCTGATTGGTACATTTCCGAAGATGGATGGAAATGCACCAATCAGAACGCAGTATTTTCACCCAGCAAGTAATCCAGCACGAAAAAAGCACCGTGTGCCGCTGGCTTAAACGAACAAAGCTTATGCTCTGTCCCTATATTCCTATGTCATTGGCTGCGTTCAGAAAACACAACGGTTACACAACGATTGAATAATTCGTCAACGTTATTGGTCTGAATGTAAGGATCTAACAGTAAGGACCAATAGTTACTAAGCGCTCAGTGAACGCTTTGTTTTCTGAACGCAACCTATGCTTCAACCTCCGAACCCGAAGTTAAGGCCACGTACAAAAGTTTAGTCGTAACCGTAAGTCCGTAAGCAAATTGACCAATCACAATTCGCATATTTCGAGATGCTGGATTACGATTGGTCAATTTGCTTACGGTCTAAAGGTGCCAATACATGGGAGCGTCGAGCGTCGAGCGTCAAAGCGTCCAACCAATCAAAGTTCCTTGTTTTTATCCGTGAAATAAGAAATGAAAAACTGATTGGTTTGGACGCTTTGACGCTCGACGCTCGACACTCCCATGTATTGGCACCTTTATGGTTACGACTAAAATTTTTTTACGTGCAATGGCCTTTACTGCTCCGTTCCTTTATTTTTACGTCCATGATGAAAAGTGAGAGGGGAATAAAGAAAGAGAGAGGGAAGAGAGAGAGAAAGTGAGAGGGAGAGAAAAAGAGCACGCATGCGTCGTGCTTTGACGTGTTGTATGCTTTAACGTTCGCTTACCGTGGCTTACCGGCCGTGCCGGCTGATGATGACAAGTCGATCATCAAAAGGCCGAATGGCCTGAAGCAGCTGGAATGGTAATGATAGCGTTTGGTAACGACTCGAGAAGATTGGTGTGATGATTATGTGGCAAGATATAACGCGTATATAAATACAATTGTCACAGTTACCAAACATAGAGCAATCGCGTATGTAAATTCAATCCGATCGAATTGATTTTCAAGACGAGTAAAGGAGACTGTAAAAGAGACTGCTGTTTATAAAAATACACGTGGCTGTGAAACTCTTCAAATTAGCTTGCATTAGTTCATCATTGTCCCAATGTTGTCTGTAACACATATGTGCCGTTTAGAATTAATCTGTGAACATTGTGGCTCATCGATGGGACACGCTCGAGAGCGTTTTGAAGGCTCAATTACTTTGAATCTTTATTATCTACGATAACGAGCTTTATAAACCGCACGAGTGATATGACTTGATTATCATCATTATTAATTCCGAGATACAAACGGAGAAGCTGTTCTCTATGACAAAAGCAAGTATGCATACATGTTTTTTTTTAGTTTCATCTAAATCTCTATTTAATTTAAATTTTTATTTAATTAATTTAAATCTCTATTTCAAAATGTATGGTTAGAGCATACTCTTATATCTTCTGTTGTAGATGGAATGCAAGAAGAATCGCAAGTATTGATTCAAGCCTAATTTTATATGTGATGTAGCTGGATATTTCTATATAAAGGCACTATAAACTGAACGAGTAAAGAAGATGATATTAACTGCCTATTGATAAACTTCTTTAGCTTAGCACAGGTAAGTGTTAGTTATAATAATTTCTAGTTGACTTTAGTTTTTTATATATATGCAACAATCTTTATTTGTACTTGCATATCCAAGTATAATAATATCTGCAATATTTAATTTTTAGACGTTTTACTACAATGGATATTGGTGTTGTCAAAATTGCTGAAGATAAGGATTTTGAGAAACTGAAACAGCTATATGATGATAATAATGATTGGAGATTAGATTACAATAAACCTGACTTATCTGTTTGGACAAAATCCGTCCGAGGAATTAGTTTTAGAATGGTAAAGGTGTGTTGTTTTTCCTTTCTTATATTGAATGATATTATAAGCTTTGATTAAAATATAATGGTTTGACATTATTTATTAGATTAGAACACGTTTTCCTGATGTTACACCAGAAACACTATATGATGTTCTACATGATCCTGAATATAGAAAAATTTGGGACACTCACATGATTGAATCAAAAGATATAGGATTTTTTAATCCAAATAATGACATTGGTTATTATTCCAGTAAGTATAGTGTATCTTTGATTTTTTAGGATTGGATTTTTTATCTCCAACACAATATTGCATTGATACTTTGCAAACTTTAGTGGCATGTCCATCTCCATTAAAAAATAGAGACTTTGTTCTGCAACGGTCTTGGTTGGATACTGGCATAGAACAATTGATACTAAATCATTCTGTTTATCATAAGGATTATCCACCTAGAAAGCACTTTGTACGAGCAACATCTTATCTTACAGGTAAGAATATTAAATGCAGATTTATACATGTATCACTTATATATTATTCTCTATGTTCTGAGATAAAATTTTTGGTCAGGTTACATTGTAAGACCTTCGCGCAATGGAGATGGTTCTGAGTTAGGTTATGTGTCGCACACGGATCCACATGGCAAATTACCTGTGTGGTTGGTTAATAAGGTTACACAAATATTTGCTCCAAAAGTAAGTTTTCTAAGAAAGTTTACAACAGGTTATGCACAATATATCATCTCATAAAATTATACTTTGTAGATGGTAAAAAGATTGCACAAGGCCTCTGTAGGCTATCCAAGCTGGAAATTACTTAATAATCCAAATTATAAGCCATGGCATTATCCTGAACAAATAATGGCACCTAGAATATGTATTGAAGAAGTAAGGATAGCTTGTTATTTTATAGTTCTGATACAACAATCGTTGTTGAATCCACATATACACAGAGTTATCAAACTTGTTCCAGTGCGTCAAATCTGTGGAAGAGAAGAATTCCAAAAATAATTATGTTGATGAGTCTGACTTGAAAGAGAGTTTGGTTAAAGAATCTACTATGTTTGACAGTGATTAAAATGTAATGTAAGAAAGAAACATAGTAATCTAGGTAAGTAATAGTAAAACAAAATAGAATTGAAACCACTAGCAACAGTATTACAAATAAAGTAACATAACAGATACACACCATTTGTACAATTATAAAGTTCGATTTGCATATTCCTTATATAATAAATTCTAATTAACTATAATGTTATACATTTATATACATCTAATGTTAAAAGCAAAACTGATGTTCATTATATTGTAAAACTCGCCTTACGTGCGGACATTAATGTCTATATATGTGAACGTCAATGATGAAAATGTTTACGGCCTGCTTTGCATTAGGTACTAATTTCAAGTGAAATAAATCATTGATGTTGTTAAAGTGCGCAATGAGTATATGCACAATATAGAAGATATGCTTTTTAAGACATTTTATAATCTCTAAGTATCTGAGCATGCCTCTATGCACACACGCTTGTCTCGAAACATTCTTATATATTATTTATCTTCATATTGTGCATTTCTCAGACACACGTTTTTATTTATCTTCATATTGTGCATTTCTCAGACACACACACACACGGGGGTAATTCGTGTAGCCATAACCAGTGGAAGCATAGAACTGATTAAAACAAACTAATTAAAAAGTCCCATACTGTTTTGCGATATTCACAATAATTATCGAATTATTAATTATAGAAATCTGCTACAAATGAGCGCGTGATGAAGTAGATAATTGGAGAAATATTGCAGCTACTCGGGCAAGAATACCCGAAGAAGGTTCAGTCGATCTAGTGACTATTGTCATCGCACGGCGAGGAGAAGGACAAAACGCCGCTATTCTTATATTGCCTCTTCTACGTCTCCTCGGCAATAGTTGCTAGATCAACTGGGCCATGTTCTTGCCCAAATGACTGAAAGGCTTCTCCAATCATCCATCTCGACACGCGCTCACTTGTCAGATTTCTGTCATTAATAACTCAATAATTATTGCGAATATTGCAAAACGGTATGGAACTTTTATATTTATCTTAATCTACTTTATGTCTTCACGAATTCCTCATACTAAATTATTGAACATCTTTGTATACATATACAAAGTGTCTTATTTTAATCTATCACTCGTAATTTTGCAGAGGGCGGTCATAGCAAAAGATATTAAATATAAAAATTGTAAGATTTTAAGGCAACCATTATAAGAGCTATATGAACTTTAGATTCGGGGCTCAATTTGGGTCTTATGAGGCCTAAGTCAAATTTGTTGAATGGAAACCTCTATTCTTTTATTGCAGATACCTAATCTACATAAAAAAATAATAAAATTGTCTGTTACATTTTTTTACTAAACCTCTTCTATCGGGCAAAACGTGAGTCAAATATTTCATTTAAAAAAATTGAATTAATAGGCTGATAAAATTGTTTACAAAATTTCAGGTATAGTCAATTACATTTTGGGCTCGAGGTCTATTTTTAGCATGTACCTATTCTGAGCCTAGAATCCGTTTTTGGTACAAACCCATTTTGAGCCAATGCCCGATGTAACTTATATTGAGTTTCTTAACGTTACAATTTTTCTTCGTGATTACGGGAATGCACCCGTAATAAATGGACCCAAATAGACACTGGAATCTGAAATGAAATTTGCAATGCCAGATATATTATAAGTCAAATTGGTGTATTGCCCTAATCACAAAGAAAAGTTGTAACGTTAAGAAACTCAATATAAGTTATATCGGGCATTGACTCAAAATGGGTTTGTACCCAAAACGGATTCTAGACTCAGAATAAGTACATGCTAAAAATAGACCTCGAGCCTAAAATGTAATTAACTATGCCTGAAATTTTGTAAACAATTTTATCAGCTTATTCCATTTTTCAGAATGAGATATTTGACTGGCGGAACAATGACGGAAAGTTATGTAACATTAAGAAATTCAACCCAAATCACATCGGGCTCTGAGCTCCCGGCCCAAAATGAGTCTATGTCTAAAGTGGATTTTAGTAGATTTTAGGAATAGGCATGTCAAAAACAAACCTTGAGCCCAAAATGTGATTGATACGCTAGAATTTCATGACTTTTTTAATTTATTAATTCCATTTTTTAAAGTGAGGTATTTTCCTGATTTTGGGTCCAGTAGAAAGAATTTAGCCAAAAGTAATGCAAGGGATAAAATTTCTTTATTTTTTTCATGGAGATTACATATCTGCAGTAAAAAATAAGATTTTTATAAAAAAAAAAGAGTTCAACGAATTTAATTTGAACCTAAAAATAGGACTTAAATTGGGCCCCGGGCCCAAAACTTACATAGCTCTTGTAAATGTCCCCTTAAAATCCTAAAAAGGCCGGTTGTTCCAACTTCTTGATAAGTAACTGATAGTTAAATCATGTGTCTACCTTCGTTTAAATTGAAGGAAAAACAAAGATAAACATGATTTAACTATCAGTTAACTTACCAAGAAGTTGGAATAACCGACTCTACGACTTTAATATTTATGAGGAGGTTGCATTGAAAACTGCTATACATGTAGATGGCTTGAGCTGCATGGGTAGTGACAGATGTCATCTTGAAGTGTGAATATTTCCCTCTAAAATTTAGTCATTAGACGTCATCCTTTGTTTACACAAGTGCTTTTTTATAACCGAATTAAAATGGAACGCGATAAATTGTTTTTCCGATGTGTACTTCTACACTACTTTGATTTGAAAAAAAGTGCAGCTGAAACTCGTTGATGAGCTTATGAAACCTATGGTAAATCTGCTCCATCGCAAACAGTATGTAGAGATTGGTTTCGACGATTCAGAAGTGGTGATTGTAAAAAACGGTCAGGTTAATTGAAAATGTTCGAATGAACAACTGCAAGCCCTATTAAAAGAAAATCCTGTTCAAACATTCAAAGCATTGGTTTAACAGCTCGAAGTCGATAAATCAACCATTTCGCGACGTTTATAAACCAAGAAAGGGAAAGATCCAGAAAGAAGGAAGATGGCTGCCATATGAATTGATCGAAAATACCATTGCTAATTGTTTAAACATCTTGATTTCTTTGTAAGGCATAAAAAGAAAAGTTTCTTGTAGTGTATCGTGACCGGCGATGAAAAATGGATCTATTTCGACAACTCGAAATGCAAGAAATCATGAATTAATTCTGGCCATCAACGTCGACATCAACGATCACAAGATCCACAGACATCCACGATCACAAAGTAATGCTCTCTATTTGGTGGGATATGAAGTGTCGTGTATTATGAGCTATTGAAACCGAACAAAACAGTCATTGCCGAGCGTTATTGACAACAATTTGAGCGTTTGAATGATAATTTGATGCAAAAACGGCTATCTATAGCATCAAATCACTGAAAAGTGATTTTTTCTCCATGACAACACTCGGTCCCATGATATAGCCGTGAAACAAATACTGATGGAGCTCGAATGGGACGTTCTCCCGTACCCATATTCTCTGGACTTAGCCCCAAGTGATTACCATCTGTTCCGATCGATGCAACATGCTTTGGAAGATACACATTTCCATAATTATAGAGAAGTCGAAAATTGGGTTGCTGAATTGATTGGCTCAAAAGATAGACCGTTCTTTCGTCGCGGAATTTAACTTCTGTCAGAAAAGTGGAAAAAAGTCATAGCTTCCGAAGGAAAATACTTTGATTGATGTATTCACACATTTTGTTATTGAAATAAATGCTCAAAAAACAGTGGCTTCCAATGCAACCTCCTAATTTTTCATTATAATTGCTTCCTACAAAATTACGAGGACTGAAAAATTAAAATAGATCATATATGAGTATGTATATGTATATTGTGTGTATATATATGTACACACATATATATATACATATATGTACACACACACTATATATATATATATATATAGTGTGTGTGTGTACATATATGTATATGTATATATATATATATATATATATATGCACATATATATATATTTATTTATTTTAATTAATTATATAATATGTGCATATTATATATGCATACATACATACACATGTAACATCGAGAAATGTTATCGTTTAATTGCCAAATTTTTAAATGCTCAAATAAGCATCAGATTTAATTAGCATTTAGTTAAAGCTTTGAGATATCAAACAGGACATTTTTCTTATGCAAAAAGAAAGTGGAACACGTACATACATGAATATGTATGCGCACGCATGTATGAGTGCGACATGAGTGCATATGAGTATGTATGAGTGCGCACGCGTGCGTAAGTGAATGATCACTTATGCACGCGTGCACACTCATACACAGATATATACAGGGTGTCTCAAAAGCAACAGACCACCCTAATAACTTCAGTATTAAAGTTTCAAGGAAAATGATCTGAATAAAAGTTGTAGGGATATAAGTGAGCTACCTTATGATGACCTTGACTTTGATCTTGACCTCTATTTTCAAGGTCATTTGAAGGTCAACTTGCGTTTTTTAAATGGGAACCCTTATTTTTTATTACACTGTTTTTTTCTACTAGTTAATTTGAACAACTTTTGTCTAAAACATTTTTTATTTATCTAATATTTTTTGAGATATTTGAAGAAAACTTGATAACTTTTTCAATATTTAACTTACGATATCTCGCTAACTATTTATCGGAAGAAAAAGTGGTACTAGACTTTCATGCTTTATTTAGTCTCAAGAATATATTGTTACAATAGCGCCCAGACTTTTGTTAACTTACTGACTTTTGGAAATTTCAAAATCATCAAATTAACAAAAATCAGGGCGCTATTGTAACAATATATTCTTGAGACTAAATAAAGCAAAAAAGTCCAGTATCACTTTTTCTTCCCACAAATAGTTAGCGAGACATCGTAAGTTAAATCCGAAAAAAACTTACCTTATTTAAAATAAGGTTAAAAAAGCGCCAAGTGTACGCGACTCGTATCAATAACCTTTTTTAAAAAAAATTCTACAAAAAAAGTATTTTCTACAAAATATCTGATATCAAATAAGTTAAGCCAAGTGCTAATATATATATATATATATACAATTAAAAATATATTTAATTTTACCTTTTTTTAAAAACAAAATAAAATATTCTAAAAGATATTAAAAAAATGATTCTTAAAATTTAATTATATTTTTATATAATTTAATTTAACAATTCTAAAAAACAAAAATATATCATAATAAATAAATAAAAAAAATTAATTAAAAATATATTTATAAAATAATGAAAATATAAATATAATGAAAAAATTAATTAAAAATTAAAATAATAAATTTAAAATATTGAATATACATTTTCGACAATTTTAAAACTTTTTAAATAACAAAAAGTTCCAATAGATAATAAAATTGAGAGAATAAAATTGACTACAAGAAAGCACTTGGCGTGCCCGGAAAATAAACGTCCGGAAGAAACGGAACTTTAGGGAACGTTTATTTTCCGGCCACGCCAAGTGCTTTCTTGTAGTTCTGAATTTTATTATCTATTGTAACTTTTTGTTATTTAAAAAGTTTTAAAATTGTCGAAAATGTATATTTAATATTTTAAATTTATTATTTTAATTTTTAATTTTTTTATTATATTTATATTTTCATTATTTGTTATTTTATAAATATAATATTTTTTAATTAATTTTTTTATTTATTTATTATGATATATTTTTGTTTTTTTAGAATTGTTAAATTAAATTATATAAAAATATAATTAAATTTTAATAATCATTTTTTTAATATCTTTTAGAATATTTTATTTTGTTTTTAAAAAAAGGTAAAATTAAATATATTTTTAATTGTATATATATATTAGCACTTGGCTTAACTTATTTGATATCAGATATTTTGTAGAAAATACTTTTTTTGTAGAATTTTTTTTAAAAAAGGTTATTGATACGAGTCGCGTGCACTTGGCGCTTTTTTTAACCTTATTTTAAATAAGGTAAGTTTTTTTCGGATATCAATTCTTTTTTTGTGTTTGTATGTAATATAAATGAAATAAATTTTATTACGCATAACTATTAATAAAAAAAGGACAATTCTATTTCATATATTTTCCTAATCCTAAGCGCGAGAGATATACGTATAATAATTTTGACAAACATGTACGATATATCTTAGAATTAGTTTAGTACGTATATAAAAAATACCTCGCGCTTTGATAGATTAATTTTGCTACTTACAAAGATATATTAATTTTACTACTTACAAGGATTTGATGGCTTTCCATTGCTACTTAATTTTCTTGTTCCATTTCAAATTCTGCCATAATGATAAATGATGAAAAGGTATGTTACCATACATATCGATTTATCGATATCTATTTAATTATAGATAGAATTGATCAAAGTTCATGTCGCAGGCGTCGTTCTAAATTTTAAGAAAAAAATGTCATTTCAACGTATAATTAGTTTCAAATAGTATAGTTTTTCATGTAAGTTAAATGTTGAAAAAGTTACCAACTTTTCCTCATATATCTCAAAAAATATTAGGCAAATAAAAGAATGTTTTAGACAAAAGTTGTTCAAATTAATTGGTAGAAAAAAACAGTGTAATAAAAAATAAAGGTTCCCATTTAAAAAACGCAAGTTGGCCTTCAAATGACCTTGAAAATAGAGGTCAAGGTCAAAGTCAAGATCATCATAAGATAGCTCACTTAAATCTCTACAACTTTTATTCAGATCATTTTCCTTGAAACTTCAATACTGAAGAGTTATTAGTGTGGTCTGTTACTTTTGGGGCGACCTGTATACACAGATATTTAAATGTTACAATTTCAATATAAAATAAGCAGTATAATATATATAGATCTAAAGAACGCCAATATATATATTTCATTCTGTATGAGAATTGATTGAAATTCTTACTATATTCTAAACAGATTATTCGCAATTTTCTTGATTTCAGTTTTTTTTTCTTTAGACGTATGGACACTCGTGAACGAGTGTAATAAAATAGAAGTTATACATACTATTGCAAATATCTTAAATATAATCTCTTGAATTTAGAAATTTTTAATTAAATTATTTTGTATTGATACATGTACGCGAATATTCTGCAGAATTTGCAGCAAACTTTAAAAGCGTATTTTTAAAAGAATTTTTATATGAAAATTCGCAATTAAACAATAAGAATTTGGGAAAGATAAACCGAAAGAATATAAAACATTAGTGGAACTCCGATCACCGAAGAAACATGAGTAAATTGTAGTCAAATTATTACCGGTTAAAAATTCTATTAAAGAATACACTTGTAAAGTTTGATTTAGAATCTTGTAAAACGTACAAGATGTATAAAAAATTCCTGGATAGCAAAATACCACAGAAAATGTAAATTTTATAAAAAAATATTTGAAGCAAAAGTTATAGGATTTAAAAAGTTTTTACTGGCTTATCAGTTTGACATTAGGTAGCATCGCCAAGGTTAAACTAAATCGCTAAGGTAAGACTAGTAAATAGATCTTTTCATACCCTAGAACTTTTTCTCTGAAGCAATATTTTATAAAATTCACATTTTCCGAGATGTTTCGTTGTTTGCAATTTTTTATATACACCCTTTATATTGTTACGGTACATATATTTCAGGATATATTGTTACGGTACATATATTTCAGGATATAATAAACAAATATACACCTTTAATTAGAAATTAATTATGATATTACCTAAAAACGATTCAATATTATCTAATTATGAAATATATATAATTTATCTAAATCTGTTGATTCCCTATGAAAAATCTGTAATAGAATAAAATTTATAAGATAATTACTTTGTAAAGTTCACAATAAAAAGTATTAAGATTTGTTGTCTTTTAGATTATCACTTGAATTACCTTGAAAAAATGAATTCGTTTTCTGAACGATAAACTCCGTCTTTTTTTCTCTCCTTCATGCAAACTTCCAGATAAACACATGTGTGTTCATTAAGATATCATATATGAGACAAAAAGCTGCTAATAAAATTAATGTGGTCACTGGTCTTATATCTGTAGACATTTCGATACGTGAAATATGCAATGTAATCGGCAGCATGATGAGATGAGCCATGAATGATACATGACGTATTTTATTTGCAAGATCTGTTAGAGGATTGATTCTCTAAGTGGATAACGCGACGTGTACCGTATGTTAGTCGCAGCTTCATGCCTCAGTCAAACGATTACAGTTTCGGCGAATGTGGCAAAATGTTTCTTCGTTTCTTTTTTTCTTTATGCATTCTCCTTATCTATATCTGTGCATTATACTTTATCTAATGCACACACGATATCCGATATGAAAAGTTGAAGTATAATGTATACATAATAGCTCTATGAGAAATAGCATTGCAAGAAATTTCGATTTTATCTATTGCGTGACTTTGCGTCGTAAATTGTTCCATTTAATTGCAATTCTTATCAAGAGGTACGGTAGTGCCTCGCGCCAAGTCATTACATATACCGCGGGAATATATTTCTCAAACGGAAAAAAAGAAAAATGTTTGTGGAATAAACTCGTGTTCTTATTGCGATCATACGAGATTGTAGATATGTGTGATGTAAGGTTGACGCCCATTGACGGGAAGTCCGATGAAAGATCCGCGAACGAGGTCAATGCTCATTTGAATAATAGTGATGTTCACACACGAATAAGGATATCGCGAGGATGTTTGATCATTGGTGAGTATAAGGACGTATGTACATCGACTGTTGAGCACGAGAATCATCATCTTCTCGCGACTGCGACTGAAGAAATGGAATTAAAGAAAAATAAAAGGCTTGAGGAGACAACTTTCAATAGCTTCGATGGCAAAAAGCTGATCAACACAACTGAGGTAACTTTTCTTTCTTATGACTTGGATAGTTTATATCGACCTTGCAAACGTTGACAGAATTGTAGGAAAAGGCACGCTCTGAGAATACTCACATAGAAGCGTTCGAGTTCAAGAAGACTATTGAAGAATCGAAGGGAAGAAAACGGGTATTCTCCTTGTTCGACACACTGATCGCTCTGGTTGTAATTGGACCTTCGACAGTCGGTTTCTGGAGAGGAATCTGGACATGGATGGACCTTCATAGGGACTTGTGAGTAATACTGCGGCAACAAAGGCCGGGGAGAATCGATCGGGATAGAAATTGCCGTATATTGCTTAAATCGATCGCGAAATATTCATGAATACATTTTTTTTCTGCACGCTGCACGCATACTTAAAGAAAACTTCGTTTCCGTTAGATTTCCCGCCTGGTTTTGCTTCATGACTGGAGCTACTTTGCACGTGCTATTTGCGTTCTTCAAGGATCGCTTCCATATCAGGTATATGGACGAGTGGACTAAATTAAACACGTTCAAGCGATTGCCTTATCGCGCGCTGCAAATTCTGTATACATATACCTTCGGTGTAGCCTGCAACGCGCATTGGCGGGGTTGCTGGATCATCATCGACGATTACTTTTTTATGCACTTATGGTAAGTCGACGAACGTGTCCGTATATAAAAGAGAAAGATACCGAAAGATATCTGCTTCATTATGGCTTCTAATCCCTTGCTGTGACACTCTTGATGTCAGAAGCGAGAAAACGCACATTCAAAATTCTTGTGTGCCATTTGAAAATAAAAAGATATATGTATACAAAATATTTTAGATCTCTAGAATATACTTGTAAAATGACTAATATGAAATTGGTCATATGGAATAATTACGCACGCGCATGACTAGACTTCATATTAGTTATTTTATGGTTGTTGATTAACTGTGTACGGATCTTTTAGAAACGAAAAATTGTGAAGATTAATTGGATCAAACTGAGAAGAAAAGTCATGTACCATTTTGCAAAAATCGCAATTATTTATTTAGTTATTAAATTATTAATGATTGAAAATAACCACATCTAGAAATCATCCTTTTTAATTGATAACTTGAAAATTTGCATACTTATTTGCAAAACGGTAAAGGATTTTTTTATTCAGAATGGCCTCATCTACATATATACAGGGTGAGTGAAAAGTATTGAACCCCTTAAAAATCTTGAAAGATATAAGTTTTACAGAAAAGTGTTTTAGACCAAAGTTATAAGGCTCAAAACGATGTATTTACTGATCTTATTAGTTTGACCTTGAATGACCTTGATTGCCGCGGTCAGGTCAAAGCCAACTTATTTTTTTTTATTAGAAACCCCCATTTTTATTATATCATCTTTTTTTACTAATTAATTTTAATACCTTTTATCTGAAATTTTATTTGCTTAATATTTTTTGAGATATTTAAGGAAAACTCGATAACTTTTTCAATATTTGACTTACGATATCTCGCTAACTATTTGTCGAAAGAAAATTTAGTACTAGACTTTTTTACTCTATTTCGTCTCAAAAATATATTGTTACAATAATGCCCTACCTTTAGTTAACTTTGGACTTATCGACCTTTGGAAATCTCAAAATCATCAAATTAACAAAAGTCAGGGCGTTATGATAACAATATATTCTTGAGACTAAACAGAGTAGAAAAGTCTAATACTACTTTTTCTTTTAACAAATAACGAGATATCGCAAGATAAATATTGAAAAAGTCATCAAATTTTCCTTAAATATCTCAAAATATATTAGGCAAATAAAAAATGTTTCAGACGAAAATTGTTCAAATTAATTGGTAAAAAAAGATGGTATGATAAAAAATAGGGGTTTCTATTTTAAAACAGATAAGTTGACCTTGATTTGACCTTAGCAACACCACTCAAAGTCAAACTGATAAAATCAGTAAATACATTGTTTTGCTTTATTTCTGAGCTTAACTTTTGTCCGAAACACTTTTCTGTAAAATTTATATCTTTCGAGATTTGTAAGGGTTTCCATACTTTTCACTCACCTTGTATAATAGCTATTATGCCTAGCAACAGGTTCAATTCAGGGTTCAAAGTTTAATATACTTATATCTATTGCTAGACACAATAGTCGTCATATAATTGTAGATTAGGGCCTTCTGAATAAAAAAGTTCTTTACCACGCAAATTTTCAAATTATTAAAAGATTAATTAAAACAGCCTCTGAACTGGTCATTTTGAATCATTAATAACTATTGTGATTTTTACAAAATGATATATGATTTTTCTTCTCAATTTGATCTGATTAATCTTCATAATTTTTTGTTTCTAAAAGATCTCGATCACTCTGTCCACTTTATAAAAAGGCATGTTAACTGCGTGAATTTATTTTATATCGAAGCGTTGAAGCCTCTTTTCCGCGATGCTGATTGGTCATCTCACTCGCGTCTCGCGTACGCGGCTTGCTTTGCACGCCGGTTGCGGCTGTCATCGAGCGAAGTTCGTTTTGACATCTCGATCGCACGTTATATATGCAGCTTACTTCTCGTGCGATATAATGTGTCATTGTGTCGTTGAAAGAAGGAAAAGAAGAAACTGAGAAAACTATAAAAAGGGGGAAAAAAGAGAAGGAACGTACGAAGGATAGTGCGTTCTTTCTTGTTATCGCATGCAATTTTGCGACTAGAGGATTCCGAATCTTGCTCCTGCAGCCAAGTAAGTCATTTTATATTTAACTGAGATGCATTTTTTCTTTAATAGAAGATATTCAAATAATAATAATAATTATTATTATTATTATATATTTATATATATGTACTATAGTAATATTATTAACAATAACATAACAGTATATATTTTTTCCTCCTGTTTGAATATCTTCTATTAACTCATTCTATTCCATTCCATGCAATTTTCCAATATTTCCTCCCCTATGTTGAAGATTATAAGTAAATAAAAGAAACCTAAATAGGGAAAAGTCAAGTTAGGTAGGATATGACAAAATAAATAAAAATATAAAAATATTAAGAAATATGAATAGAGAAGAATACGCAATTAATATACAGGGTGTTATAAAAGACCCGGAAGAGCAGAATAACTCAAAAAATATGAGTCCTAGAAAAAATGCGAAGTACTAGGTTTTTATGATTTTTTCCTGGCTATCTGATGTTGACCTTGGATTTGATCTTGACAATGATCTTGAAGGTCATTTCAAGGTCAGGTCAAATATTTTAAATGGGGCCCCATATTTTTGACCCCAGAAATTAAAAGAGCGGAAAATTTTACGTTCGGATATGACCTTGAACACTGCCAAATTTGACCTCTGAAGGTCACATAAAGGTCTAAGCTTGTTTTAGGCTGAGAACGCGAATATCTTCGAAAATGCACCTGCTAGGGAGCAATGTTACGCATAAGAATAAGAATGTAGAGTTCAACGAAGGACATTCAGCCGTGACTTTGCCCTTATTCTCAAGGTCATGAGTTAAGATTATTATTAAGGTCAAACCGGACTTTTTTAGGACTGAAAATCCATACTTTTGACCTAAAAGTGTCAAGATTGAAAAATTTTACGTTCGGATATGACGTTTTCAACCTTGACCTTGTTCTCAAAATTATGCGTTTTACGTTACTTCACTGATCGTGAAGTCTACTGAAAGTAAAGCGTCTCGGAACCCGACCACTGAAGGCAAGGTGTCTCAAACCCGACCACTGAAGGCAAGGTGTCTCAAACCCGGCCACTTAAGGCAAGGTTTCTCAAACCCGACCACTGAAGGCAAGGTGTCTCAAATCCGACCATTGAAGGCAAGGTTCAGTTAGTCCCGGCCACCAAAGGCAAAGCATCTTGTAACTCGGTCTGAGATTACAAGAGATGTTCAAAATGTTCCCCATTGACCGTTTGACAGTGTGCTAAGCGGACGTACAAATTGTCAGTCGTACTCCTTATCATTTCTGGAGGTATTGCAGCACATTCGTCTATGATTCGTTGTTGAAGCTCATCCAGGTTACGAGGTTTAGTGAAATAAACTTTATTTTTTATGTAGCCCCAAAGAAAGAAATCAAGTGGTGTAATGTCGGGCTATCTCGGTGGCCATTCGATTGTTCCTCTTCTACCTACCCATCGATTAGGGAAAGTATCGTTTAAATAGTTCCAAACAATGCGTCCGAATAATGTGGCGGTGCCCCATCTTGCTGGAACCAAACATCATCAAAATTATCACCAACAATCTCCTGTATTGATCGAACAATTTGGTTTGTTAGAAGCTGCAGATAGGTTTCTAAGTTCAAATTCCCATTTATAAAAAGAGGCCTAACCACTTGATTATCATAAAGACCTGCCCAAATATTCAATTTTTGAGGTCGCTGCGTATGTGCTTCAAGCATCCAATGAGGATTATCGTTGTTCCAATATCTAAAATTATGACGGTTTACCTCACCAGTAATTTCAAAAGACACTTCGTCTGAAAAACGATATTATGCAAAAAGTTCGGTTGCTAATCAATTCTTTGCATCATAACTTCTGAAAATTGCATCCTGCGGTCAAAATCATCCTCATTCAACTCATGGTGGAGATGAATTTTGTAGGGGTGGAACTTAATGGTCTTTAGATTTTTGGAAATTGACAATACACTCATTTGAAGCTGTTGAGATGCTTTTCTAATTGACAATCTGGGATTTTCAACAAATGATTGGGCTACTTCAAATTGTCGTTCTTCTGTTGTTTGGGACCTTGACCTCTCAGATTTTTGGCGGTTTTTATTACTCCCAGTTTCTACAAATTGTCTGATGATGCAAGATACAGTCGATATTGAAATACCTTCGTCTTCATTACGAAAGTTTTCATTGAACAGCAATCTCACTTCACTGTATGACCTTCGTCTATCCCCCCATCCTCTCATCATCAATAGCGAAACTCTTTCATGCTCTGTAAGAGAAGCCATTTAGAATTGAAAACAAAAAATTTGCAAAAATTTGGTATAAAAAATTCGGTTTCTTTACCTTTAAATAAAAATAATAAGTAATGTACCATTGATCGTTAATAATAATATGATAATAATTCAAAACGGACTAGAATGACATCAAAACTTGTTAAATCGATGAAAACTCAAAAATAATCTATTATCTATTTGACACTGATAGAATCGAGACAAATAAAAACCTTGAAGCATACACTTTATCGATGGCGAATAAATTTTTCGGATACCGATCCTGGGATTTTTGAGCTCGTTAAAACCGAATCCTATGTCGGATTTTGCAAATTCAAAATGGCCGATTCAAGATAGCGGCCGGTATTTAAGAATAACAAAAATTAGATCTCGTTTAAGGAGTTTTTGAAGTCGTTTCTGAAATCGAATCCGACGTTGGATTTTACAAATTCAAGATGACCGATCCAAAATGGCGCCCGATATTGAGGAATTACCAACAATCGGAGTGTGACCTCGTACGTAACGTAAAATCTCACTCTTCACATTATGGGGGGAGGGGTAAAAGTATGTGTTTCTAGCCTAAAAAAATTAATTGACCTTGATATGACTGACACATAACCTTAAGAACAAGGTCAAGGTTGAAAACGTCATATCCGAACGTAAAATTTTTCAATCTTGACACTTTTAGGTCAAAAGTATGGATTTTCAGTCCTAAAAAAGTCCGGTTTGACCTTAATAATAATCTTAACTCATGACCTTGAGAATAAGGGCAAAGTCACGGCTGAATGTCCTTCGTTGAACTCTACATTCTTATTCTTATGCGTAACATTGCTCCCTAGCAGGTGCATTTTCGAAGATATTCGCGTTCTCAGCCTAAAACAAGCTTAGACCTTTATATGACCTTCAGAGGTCAAATTTGGCAGTGTTCAAGGTCATATCCGAACGTAAAATTTTCCGCTCTTTTAATTTCTGGGGTCAAAAGTATGGGGCCCCGTTTAAAATATTTGACCTGACCTTGAAATGACCTTCAAGGTCATTGTCAAGATCAAATCCAAGGTCAACATCAGATAGCCAGGAAAAAATCATAAAAACCCAGTACTTCGCATTTTTCTAGGACTCATATTTTTCGAGTTATTCTGCTCTTCCGGGACTTTTATAACACCCTGTATAGGAATAAGAGCTATATAACTTTTACTGCATCTTACTGTATTTCTCCTCTTTCGCATTTTATAGGGAAATAAAAAATAGGAAGATGGAATGGAGAAAAAAATCCAAAAGAAAAATAATAAGAGATTGGAGAAGAAACGCAGAGAGAGAGAGGGGGGGGGAGAGGGAGACAGAGAGAGAGAGAGGGGGGGAGAGGGAGAGAGAGAGAGAGAGAGAGAGAGAGAGAGAGAGGGAAAGAGAGAGAGAGAGAACAAGAGAGAGGAAAATGCGGAAGAAGGGAAGTACAAGATACAGTAAAAGTTATATCACACTTATTCTTTTTAATTGCGTATTATTCTCTCTATTCATATTTTCGCATATTCTTATTTCTTATATTTTCATTTATTCTGTCATGTTATATCTAATTTGATTTTTCTCTATTTAGATCTTTTTTATTTACTTGTAATCTTTAACATAGGGAGAATATATTGGGAAATTGTATGGAATGAAAAAGGATAACTGTTAATAAAATATATTCAAATAGAAGGAAGGAAAATATGTACTATAATATTATTATCAATAATAACAATAATATAACACTTATATATTTTTTCCTCCTGTTTGAATATCTTCTATTAACTCTCATTCTTTTCCATTCCATGCAATTTTCCAATATTTTCTCCCCTATGTTAAAGGTTACAAGTAAATAAAAGAGACCTAAATGAACAAAATGTGGAAGAAGAGAAGTACAAGATACAGTGAAAGTTATATCACACTTATTCTTTTTAATTGCATATTATTCTCTCTATTCTTATTTTCGCATATTCTTATATTGTCATATTATATCTAATTTGATTTTTTCTCTATTTAGGTCCTTTCTAATTTCTTGTAATTTTTAACATAGAGAAAAAAATATTGGAAAATTGTATGGAATGAAAAAGAATAACAGTTAATAGAAGATATTCAAATAGAAGGAAGGAAAATATGTACTATAACAATATTATCAATAATTTTTTTTTTTAAGACTATTTGTGGAAATTGATCCAGTCAAGAGTGACCGTTTTACAATATATTTTTCATATAGGGATTCACATGAATGCTATCGTGGCCCCTCATCATCACATAGTTATTTTAGAACGGGCAATTTAAAAAAAAGTCCCAGACGGCACAGGAGTGCGGTGACAAAACAAAATACTCATTATTCGTTTTCATCTTGTCTCATTAAATCATTGGGTTTTTCCTCTTCAGACGTCTAAAAGTAGCCCCCTCAAGATGGAGGAGGTATGAAGCTAGTCGATTAGTATGATTAGCAAGTCATATTTTGTGTCTGTTTGCAGCTATCTTACTTTTTTCGACAACAGTGCTCATACCGAGGTCACGATGAATATCTGAATTTCGACAGAACCAGTGCGCCCCGGTTATATCTCTGAGCACTTTGTTTTGTATAGTTTGTATGGTTTTAATATTGGAGTCTGCACTACATCCCCAAAGCTGAATGTCATAGGTCCACACCAGCTTGAGAATTAGTTTGTAAAGTAGGAGTTTATTTTTCACCGATAACTTAGAGTTCTTATCATCCACTCCATTTTAGAACGTAATATGTGTAATTGATTGCGTTTAATTTTTATGTGCTGCTTCCAGCGCAGCTTAG